CCAGACGTGGGTTGTAAAAAATCAAAATATGCGAATAAAACGTGGTCTCGTAAAGCTAATTCAGCCATTTTTTTATTAAATACAAAAGCAATAGCTTTTTATCATCTAATTTATTTATATTTTGTAACGAAAAAAAAAAAACACTTTTTATTTTAAAATGACTTTATAACTGACTGAAACATAAAGAAATGTATTTTCTAAAAATTTATCCACGTACGGTATACAAATACGTATATTTATAAATAGCCGCTCGTGCAAAAGATGCGTAAAGAAACGCTTATATCTTCTTCTTTGGGTGATGAGTGTAACTTTTTATCTTTTCCCGTATAATTTTAGATCCACACCGTCACCTTCACAATATACGTTACAAGTACGTAGTTTGTACGATTAATGAGTGTGTGGTAAGAAAACGAGGAATATTTCACTTACATACATGTACACGGGAACGAGGGAGAAGTTGATTAGTTAAGTAGCCATTATTTACGGTTAATGAGTATAAATTTAAGTACAAGTAAGTACTAATTATCACTTACTAAATAAAGACTTTGTCTACAAATTATAGATTTGGGGAAAAAATGCATGTAGTGCCACAAAGAAACACCTGCTTGTTAACTAGTAGTGGCTCAACATTGATGTTGACCAATATTTTTTACCATCCATAAAAAATTCTTTAATTTTTGTTAATTAATTAACCATTCCATAACTTAATAATTATTTACACTACATACCAACAACACGCGTTATTGTTTTTATTTGGCTTTCATTTTTTTATGATAATTGTGGTAATCACGGGAGGTAAGAAAATGTCAAGCATTTTATTAGCTTTTCTTTATTAACTGAGTGATCTGTTTAATTTCGTTACTTAAAGTTTCTTGTAATATTGAATTCACTAAAATTTATAAAATACAGTATGGCAATACAAAAAAAAACTTTATGTACACGGAAGAAGTAATCTACTATTATTAAGATATCTCTAGAAAATGTATTATTTACAATTAATAGTTAGAGCTCAGTAATATTAATAATTTATGTTTCACTTGCATCACCGTAATTAACTCGAAAGCAAAAAGTTACAGAAGAGTATAATATGTCTAAAAGTATTTGTAACCTTTTAACCTTTCACTTCAAGTGGTACCCTCTACTACACATCATAAATTTGAATAAAACACTGAAACAATATCTGTTTGACACAAAAAAAAAAGATAAATTAATTTTTTATACATCCGAGTACTTACAACTTCGTCAGAAGTGTTGGAGACTGGCACAGCGTGTCCCAGTGCGAGGGCCATAGCGAGGAAGAGGACCATCATTTTTGTCTGGCCAACAAATTGCAGTAAAAAATATAACAAAAAAAAAACAAACAAAAAAAAGACTCACTCCTTATGTTCTTGCGACCAGGGCTCAAGAAAAATTAATTCACTAAATTCGGCTTTAAACACAATAGTTGTCTATATCTCAACAATCCAGTTTGTAGTGATAAAGTCACCTGACTCGCATTGCTTAAATATAACGAGTGTTATTCACTGCCCCACTTTGCCTCCCTCCCTTCCTTTTTGTTTTATCTCTCTATGGGACACCTGATTTCTACTTGAAACCTGATGCGCGGGTGTGAATTTGTAATCATTATCTATTTTATACATTTTCAAAAATATTTTTCCATCACTCAAATTAGTAAAAATTGTTGACGAAACACATTACGTAGTGGGTGCATATTTTCTACATATGTTTGATAATTTTGATTTCCTACCTTAAAAATAGAATGGCAGATATTATGTTTCGTACACTAAAAAAAAAAAAAAAATTAACCCACGTCACCAGATGCATTAATTTTCCATACAAATAACATGAATTTTAACAGTTCTTGAAAAAAAATTTTTCCTTCCCGTACTTGTAATTTTCAATCCGTTTAAAATTAGTAAATTATATATTGGCGAAATGCTTTTTTTTTTAAATTATTTTTTACTTATTTTATTAAAAAAAAAAAAAAATTCCACCGGTAGTTTCAACTTTACACGATATTTAAGTAAAGCTAAAATAAAAATTTGTCCAACGGCTGTGATAAAAAAGGCCTTAGTAGATAATTATATGACAAAATAATCAAATTTGGCACATAACAGACAACCTAATGAGCTCACAAATACTTCAACATTAATTACATGTATTATATTGGCTAGCTAAAATAAAATAAAAAATAAAAAAATTATTAGGTCATTGACTTACAAGGTAGTCGTAGTTCAAAAAAAGTACCAAAAAAAAACGGTGGAATCTGTTTTAACCCTATGATAATTAATTAACAGTATAGGAAAAATATCGCGATGAAGAAAATTTAGGGATGCAATGAAATGGATAAATGTCCTTGTTTCAATAATTTTTGAATAATTATTGGCTTCTTGGAAAAACTTTTTATTTAAATAAAAAATTTAATGATATGTATAAAGTAGATAAAGTTAATGAGACTGGCTTGCGTATTTTTTTATACAGATATTTTTGATCCTAGAATTTGAATTTGGCCAAACACACTTTCTTATACTAAATTTAAAAGATTTTGAAGATTAAAAGGTATTATAAAGTCCAATTGCCAGAAAATATAGGTCACAAATACCTTTTGCTGCAGTTATGATTAGTAATAAAACGGATTTTATCGTACTAGGAATTTTAGACAAAATTAACGATCATCTTCATTAACTATGCATACAGCTGTTAGAAACAAATTTTGTAAGTTTTTACCCAGAGAAAGGTGAACAATAGCTTTTTATCATTTAAGATAAAATAACACTCTACACAAAAACACGAAACAAAACTATTTTTCAGGCACACATGTACGTAATATACTAGGCTATCATTAATTTAAAATGTTTTTTCTTCTCTTATCAGAATAAAATTAATGATACTTACCAGAGGCTTTTCCCTAATTGACTTTTGGGTGAACGACATCATTGTTATTCGGGAAAGGGTATTGCTTATTTTCTTCAATTTGAACATAATTTTTTTTTTCTGAATACAAACATCTAATTGGTTTTTAACATATTATATGCCTGGTTTGACTTTTCACCATGACATAGACAAAGGAGCTCGAAAAGCGTTCTTCGCATACATATAACAGTTTTTGGAAAGATTGTTATCGGTAAAGTATTGACTTGCCTTATTAACATGTTAGATATGATTTCAGAGTGTGAAAAGTTTTAAAGTATCAGTTTTTTATAAATGTTTGTGTGGGTTTGTAACCAGTCACATTTCTGAAATCCATTGAGATGTTTGAAAATTTCGTAGAATTAAGTTAGAGTTCCCAAAAATTTTTCATGAAATAAAACTTTTTTTTATTACACACTTTGGTGCTGAATGTATATACATCGTTTTATTAGTAAAAAAAAAAAAAAAAATTTATTCATACGCGATGAACAACTACCAAATATGGTAAGAAATAAAATTTGTCCTCTAGTATCTGTTTGACGGCCATTTGCAGCTCGTAAAACATTAATTTCACATCAGTTAATGATGTGAGTAGTTAGTGTGGTCCACATTTTGGGGACAGCCCATCCAGTATTGTGCCGACAATTTGGGATTTGTGTCTACTATTTTCCTACGCGCGTCGTCGAACTGCCAAAAGTACCTTCCCTTGAAAAAGTACGTCGTACCTAAAAAAAAAAAAAAAAAAAATGAAAAAATGAAAAAGAAAACTAAATCGTAATAAATGAATTGACTTANTTTCTTTATTTGAAAAATTTTAAAGCTGTGATGAGAGGAAAATGAAAATTCACTTACCTCTTGAAGGACATGACGATGTCGACTTTGTCAGTGTTTATTTTTTCTACAAACACAAGTTTGCTATGTTTTGCCCACACATTTAGTGCTCGCTGCATCTCTCGCCTTACTTCGTCGTATTTAAGTCCTTTAGGAATCGGTTTTTTCACGCTATATAAGGTAGCAAACCAGGAATTAGATTTAACTCATTATTTCTTTCATTTAAAAATGAGAAATAATCTTGTACCAATAGCATAGAAATCTATCGCTGCTATTTTTTTGGCAAATTGTTCTCAATTTATTTCTTTTTTCTACCATTATAAATATCATACACACATACACAATATAATTATATCTGTACACAAAGAATTTATTCTTCATTTAGAGCTATCGTAAGTACATTCACAATACATTGTTTGATTGTAAGTTTTGTACAATGATCAAGGATGCCAAGAGAAAATCATTGAAAAAAATTTTGAAATGATTTTTACCTCCATGTCAGAGTAAGTTTATTCCACTTTGCTTGAATTGAAAACCTCTTTTCTCGGACTTTTTTGTTGTTATCTGATCCATAATTCACATCCACACCACAACGTCGACTCTCTATTGATTTCAATGTTGGACCATCCACTACTTTTGTTGGCACGACTCCACCAAATTTCTGCAAAAAGATGGGGTCATTTTTACACATCTATCAAGTAAAGACATCCACCAATATTGTCAGAAATCATTTAAAAAAAGGCTGTACTGACCTGCAATTTTGGAAGGGCTTCCTTGATTTCGTTTTCGGTCTTGCTACTGACAATTCCCGTGTTGTTTTTGGTCCATTGATTTAAACATTCATATCCATAAAAATTTAGAAAGTATAATTTTTATATAATGAATTTAAATAAATTCAAAACATTAAACATTGAAAAAAAAGAAGCTTCATATTTATTGAATATTATATTCCTTATTTCATGTAAATAATTAATAGGTATAAGAACAATGGGGCTATATGATATTTAACTGAATTTAATTAATTATACGTTTTTTAACTAACAAAGAGTACAGTAAACTAAGCAGGAATCATTTATACCAGGGTATGCTTATTTTATTGGTCTTTAAACACTTGAAAAAATTATGTTCCTGAATATTGTGTGTTTTACATGCTAATAAAATTTGTTATTCATCACTAGTAGTAAATCTTTTTTTCTAGCAAACAAGTGCAATATAATTATATATTCATACTAGTCCAAATCAATTGGTTAAATATTTTCTGACATATTTTGACTTTTTTTGTTATGATCACTATTTCACTGCATTTTTCCAAATATAAATAATGCATTACATTTAGAAAAAAAATTTTTTCAAAAGTAATTTTTGTTCGAGGACAATGAATATGAATTTTTTATTTCCTACTCAAACTGCATATTATTAGTCCATATCTNTTTTTTGTCAACACAAGCATCATACAGAAGAAGTTACATATCAATACATACTTCCAATAATTTTTGCCGCTAAAGAAATAAGTCCCATTGTCGCGTTTCCATATCATGGCAGCGTCAATTTTTTTTAGATTACGAGGCAAGCCAAAATCGGTGAGGGGCCTCGAGTACTTTAAATTATTGGGCCCATCAAAGACGTAGTAGTTGCGACCAATAAAAAACACCACGTTACCATCAGACCTTTCATAAACTGCGTCCACGTGATCGATTGTCTTATCGAATTTGAAGTAACCATCTATTTTGGTTGACTCGTTGTAAGTAGGGTTTTCCACATCTCTCACCAACCATACATACTGCGAATATATTTATTTTAGCACGTTATTTTTATCGACAAGCTATAAAACACTACTTTTACGCCATAAAAATGATCAGTTAAAAGTACATGTACAAATTTTTATTTTTTATTTAAGAGTATATATATACATATAAATAACTCACTGGTCCAGAAAATATAAATAATGATCCACTTAAGAGGCTCACTGCGTCGTATTTTCGGAGATGACATCCTCGAGGCTCCTTACGGTTGGTATTGGATCGACGTGTTTTTTGGATTTTTGTCACGTGCTTGGATAGTAAATCAGGTGAATAATATTTAAATCGATGTTGCATTTGTCTTTGCTTTGATTTTCGCTTGGGTATCGCCGTCGTTGTGGTAGCAGGTCGATAATACGTTTTCTCTCGATTATTGTCTGGAGCTCCTTAAAATTTTGTTTAGAAAAATTATTAAACTAATTTTAAAAATTTAGTAAAAAAAATTTCTGTGATCTATTGAATGGTGTGCAAAAATTCAAAAAATCTATGTGTGGTGAGTACCGGTTGGAGTAAAAATGAAACTAAATACGCCTGTCTACAGTACTGATAGCAACCACAACAATCTCATTCTGAGAAATAATAAATTTTTAATTCTTATTGGTGCATACACAAAAAAAGGAAAATAAATTCTTACCGTATAGCTTTTGGATATTTTTCCTATCATATAGTGGCAATTCGTAATCAGTAGGTAACTGCTTGTAAATGAGAAACATCAGCGAGTCGTTGGTGTCGTTTGTCGAGGTATGCCCCAATCCGAGCGAGTGGCCGATTTCGTGAACTGCGGTTGAGAACAGATGCGTTTCTGTAAACAGAAGGAGACGATGAGTTACGGATATTATTTTATTATATTAATTTAAAACGTGACAAAAATATTTCATTGACATTACTTTTCATGCTACAGTTCGCTTGAGTTCGAAAAAAATTGCTGTATCATTTAATTTTTCTTAACATCGATTAATCGCAACCATCGGTAAAGAGGAACAATAGAAAAAAAAAAGATCGGGGAGTGTAAAAGAAAAAAAAAAAAATTTAGTCCAACAGTACTTACTTGAACCGATTTTCGTGTTTTTGACGGTCCAATCCTCGTCAGCGTCAAAGTGGATATCGCCGCCGATGTTTGAGCCATGCGCTGGAAGGAAAGTATGTGCCAATAGGTTTCCCTTACCGTCAAAATCAAGGTCACCGTGTGCTTTCCTGAAATATTCATCACAAATGCAACATCAACAACATCAAACTGATTCTTTTTCTTTATTTGAAAAATTTTAAAGCTGTGATGAGAGGAAAATGAAAATTCACTTACCTCTTGAAGGACATGACGATGTCGACTTTGTCAGTGTTTATTTTTTCTACAAACACAAGTTTGCTATGTTTTGCCCACACATTTAGTGCTCGCTGCATCTCTCGCCTTACTTCGTCGTATTTAAGTCCTTTAGGAATCGGTTTTTTCACGCTATATAAGGTAGCAAACCAGGAATTAGATTTAACTCATTATTTCTTTCATTTAAAAATGAGAAATAATCTTGTACCAATAGCATAGAAATCTATCGCTGCTATTTTTTTGGCAAATTGTTCTCAATTTATTTCTTTTTTCTACCATTATAAATATCATACACACATACACAATATAATTATATCAGTACACAAAGAATTTATTCTTCATTTAGAGCTATCGTAAGTACATTCACAATACATTGTTTGATTGTAAGTTTTGTACAATGATCAAGGATGCCAAGAGAAAATCATTGAAAAAAATTTTGAAATGATTTTTACCTCCATGTCAGAGTAAGTTTATTCCACTTTGCTTGAATTGAAAACCTCTTTTCTCGGACTTTTTTGTTGTTATCTGATCCATAATTCACATCCACACCACAACGTCGACTCTCTATTGATTTCAATGTTGGACCATCCACTACTTTTGTTGGCACGACTCCACCAAATTTCTGCAAAAAGATGGGGTCATTTTTACACATCTATCAAGTAAAGACATCCACCAATATTGTCAGAAATCATTTAAAAAAAGGCTGTACTGACCTGCAATTTTGGAAGGGCTTCCTTGATTTCGTTTTCGGTCTTGCTACTGACAATTCCCGTGTTGTTTTTGGTCAGATAACCAAATCTTTGGAGATGCTTTTCCTGCAACAGACAAACCAAATTGAGTTTTCATAACAATACTTATTTAATCATTTTAATTTATTGTGCAAAGATAAAAAGACGATTAATTATATAGATATTTTGGTCAC